TTTTTTTTTTTTTTTTTTTTTTTTTTTAGACAAGTTATCATGCAACCTAGGCTGGTTTCAGACTTACTAGGTAACTGGTAACTGGTCTTGAACTCCTGCCCCTCCAGCCTCCTAGTCCAAAGTATTGGGATTAGAGGTCTGCCCACGTGCTTTCCTGTGTCCAGAGATTTTAAGCACAAAGAACAGAATACAATGCTACTAGCCTTGGAAATTATCCTAGTTGAAATGGTAAAGGAGAGAAGGAGGGAGGGGGAGGCCAATATTCTTACATTATGGATTGCGTTTTGCAGGCCTGGTGGTATAGATATGTCATACGGGCTACTCTAGGGAGACTGAGACAGGAAGATGAAAGGTCAAGTCCTGTCTAGGCAATTTAGAAAGATCCTGTCTCAAATGAAAAGTAATGTGGGCATTGTGATACACACCTTTAGTTCCAGCACTCCATGGACCGGCGGATCTATGAGTTCAAGACCAGCATGGTCTACACAGAAAAATCCTGTCTTGAAAAAGACAAAAAGTAAATATAATGAAGTATTTGTCTTGTTGAAAGCCCCATGTTAGTTCCTCAGCATCATACATACACACATACAGCAACAATAATGATCATTAAAAAAACAACAACAGTAATAACAATAATAAAAAATAAAATATAATAAGCTAAGGTCAGCTACACATACAGGCAGAATCTGCTTCCAGTTCCAGGCGAACCTGGAGTACATAAAGCTGGGTGTGGTGGCACATATCCTTAATCTCACCATCAAGAAGCAGAAGAAGACAGATCTCTGTGAGTTCCAGGCCAACCTGGTCTACATAGTGAGTCTCAAGCTAGCCAGGGCTACACAATGAAACCCTGTCTCTAAATAAATAATGAATAAATAAATGTGTTGAGAAATCCTATCTGTGGGTGATGGCGCATAAAGGGAAGGAATATGTTGTTTTTTTTTTTGTTTGTTTGTTTGTTTTTCTTTTTTTCTTTTATTTTATTTTACAATACCATTCAGTTCTACATATCAGCCATGGGTTCCCCTATTCTCCCCCCTCCCACTCCCTCCCCTTAACCCCAGCACCCCCCATTCCCACCTCCTCCAGGGCAAATCCTCCCCC